GTGGATCAGTGTGTGGGATGCAAACAGGCGGCCTGAAGGGTCTAGACGTTATTTCTCAGTTTTGTATTTCTGTCTCACAGTTTGCCCTTTAATAAAGCCTAAGTGGGGTGGATTACCTTCTCAAATATACACTCTCCAAGCAGTTACCCTTTAAAATGAGATAAAAGAAGAATTTTATTTGGATTTTATTTGAAATGTGCACTGTTGATGGCCTGAAATTCAATTCCCAATGTGGTAATGTGTGTAACTGTGTCAAAGTTACTGGCAAGCTGTGAATGGCAATTTATTTCTCCAGTTTCGATTTTTCTTGGCAGGAAGGAAACCAGTGGGTGATATTCAGCATTGCATGGCCAGCTCTTATGTTAAGCAACAGAATAAATCCTCCTCCACTCAATTGCACTGAGAACAGTTTTCTAAATTTATGGGCTTAAGTCTTGGAGAAACAACTGCTGCCATAGACACATAACTTCTGTGCAGTATTCCTGCCAATGACTTTTTAAAATGAACATTTGAGACATCCCATCCAGAGGAAATGGACAGGAATAGCCTTGCTACTCTTTCTTTCATCTTAGAAGCACCTGTAAGTTGTGTTTGGGTTCTGTTTAGTGCAGGTATATATTACCTTGATAATACTAAGAAACACAAAATGGTGGTAAACCCAGATTGGGGGGTGGGTGATAGTGGGATTGCATTAATTGTGGCAAAATACTGGTTTAACATGGAGTGCCTTAAAATAGGTAGGGTCATGTTGGAGAGGTTTAACTTTTGAAATAAAGCGTACTAAGCATGCACTGCTTTATCAAAGAGGGAGGATTTGGATGAACATCCAGAGCAGATACAAGTCTGTGGGAGTCTGCTGGCTCCTCTGCAGTGCTTTTCTCTTTAATTAGCTGTAGAATGCTTAAAGCCTGGAATGTGAGACTTGTGCAATTTCCAAAGTTTCCCAACTCCATGATTATTTATACTGTACAATTAAGAGCAGCTGCTGGCCAGGCACATCTTGATACGAGACCGTATCTGTTTGAGTGGGAGGCATTGTTCGCCCGAGGGCAAGTGGCAGGAGATTTTTTTTCACTTACAAATTATCTTGAATGTTTACAACATTCAAACATACAGCATCATGCCAAGAGGGCAATTTAACCTTGCTGCTCATGATAGTTTCTTTGTTGGACGTTCACCTCCCCAACCCAGAATGGTGGCCTGCTTCCACTTTGCTGGGTAAGGTGAATTTTTCAGAAGTTAGCAGGCAAGTTTTCAGAAAATTCCATGGTGATCAATAATAGGCATATTGCAAGGCTTTTTGAAAGTTGTGCTGCAACATATGGTAACCAATTTGATTTCTTCACTTATGATTTATCAACAACACCAACAAAGTTTAAAACAATGTTTCTTTTCAATGGCACTTCTAAGCAAGAATATCATTCCTAAGGACACAGGCTATATAAGTCAGTAATACAGTGGTGCCCCGCATAGCGAGGTTAATCCGTTCCGGATTAACCTTCGTTATGGGGAAACATCGTTAAGTGGAGCGGGGAAACCCATTGGAACGCATTAAATTTCGTTTAATGCGTTCCAAATGGGCCCAAAACTCACCGTTCTCCGATGTTTCCCCATGTTCTGGTGGCCATCTTGGGTGTCCCGGCGGCCATTTTTGGTGTTCTGGTGGCCATCTTGGGTGTCCCGGCGGCCATTTTTGGGTGTTCCGGCGGCCATTTTTGGGTGTTCCGGTGGCCATTTTGGGTGTTCCGGCGGCCATTTTAGAACCGCCGAACAGCTGTTCCCCCATCGCAATGTGAGCATACCCTCGCATTAGCGATGGGGAAATCTGCATCGCAATGAGGATTCATCGTTAAACGGTGCGCTCGTTATGCGAGGCACCACTGTAGTTTACAGATTTAACATTGCATTTTAAGGGAAGCTTTGTCACTCATTTTGTTTGGAAGCAGAGGTTTCCAAAGAGTAACAGAAAAATATAAGAGATGCTCCAGACATTTACATTTTCAAATAAATGTGTGGGGTGTACACATGACAAACAAGTACAACTGAAAAGGAATTGTAATTGGCCGTTGCATTAGAGCTTGGGGGGGGGGGAACCATTTTTAGACTATAATTATCAGAATCTCCCAGGACTGCTGGCCATACTGGTTGTGTGATTCTGGTAGCTGCACTGCAAATAACCGACACAGGCTATATAAGTCAGTAATAGTTTACAGATTTAACATTGCATTTTAAGGGAAGCTTTGTCACTCATTTTGTTTGGAAGCAGAGGTTTCCAAAGAGTAACAGAAAAATATAAGAGATGCTCCAGACATTTACATTTTCAAATAAATGTGTGGGGTGTACACATGACAAACAAGTACAACTGAAAAGGAATTGTAATTGGCCGTTGCATTAGAGTTGGGGGAAAAAAACATTTTTAGACTATAATTATCAGAAACTCCCAGGACTGCTGGCCATACTGGTTATGGGATTCTGGTAGCTGCACTGCAAATAACTAAATCACATAAGCTCTGTTGTTATGACCCACTGCATTCTGCACAGAGTGAAAAGTGTTTGCTTGTTGTCATGAAAGATCAAGAGCCCATAGGAGGCAATGCATGCATATCTGCTATAGAAAAGGACAAGGCCTCCCCCATCTCCAACCTTTTCAGTTCATTTGTACAGTTGTGACAGAATTGTGATTATTGTCTTGAGAATTGAACTAGCACAAGAAACCTGATTTGTCCTAATTAATGTGAAATTTTAAGAATGTGGTCGCGTGTGTAGAGCAAGATGGCTGTTAAATGACAGAACCATTAGGAAGAGCTGCAGAATGTACGTTATGATACTTGTTGCCTTGATTCTTAATCCTTCTTCACATTTTATTAATACAGTGATTTTGACAGAGGTAGGAAGAAGTACCTCACTACAGAAGAGAATGGTGGACTAGTGCTTGCATGTGTACATATTATTTGTTCATCATTTGAAGGGAAATTCCTTATTTCTGCATTGCATCCCTCTGGGTAGGAATAATAACCAGAGCAAAGAAAGCATCCTAGCAAATATATTTTCCTTCTGAACATTTTGGCTCAGCCTGATTTAGTAGTCTGCTTCGCAATATTGTTTGTTTGTTCTTGACTTGAGTTCTGTACCACTCTGCAGAGTTCAGTCCTCTGGGCAACAGCTGTTTCATACCATTTGCAATCAATCCTGTTGCAAATTAATGCAACCTGATACTGTTTCAGAATATCCAGAAAGCTACAAGACTCATAATGCTGTGATTATTTTTAAAGCTCTGTTACCTGTCTAAAAGCTGTAATGTGCTTTGATGTCTTTAAAAAAATGAGTCTGCTTTCAAAGCCACCTTGGCTGAGGAACATTAGCTGTAGACAAAATTGTAAATTAAACAATTGCTGAGCCTCAAAGCAGCTGGCAGTGAAAACATCCTACGCTTTAAATGGTTTTTCCAGCATTAAATTATTGCAGCAGCAGCAGCAGCAGCTGAGATTTCAGTTCTTCCCAACTAATGTTTTGGTTAGAAGGCATAAGGGAGGCAGGGGGCACAATTGACTGGTGACTAATCTCACTGAAATGAATTTGAGATGGTGGCATCATTGGCTTTATTGATTACAGATTTTCTCTTGATGCAGTCAGGAAATTTCTGCTTTGCTCATCTCTTTCTTCATGGCCATTGAACATTATGCAAAGATTGCATGTCCCAGTTATAGACGGTCAGATCTTTGGGTGTTGTTCTGGACTTAAAGAACAATCTGATAGTGTCCCCGCTTCCCTGGGCATGTGGTGTTTTTGCATTATATTATAGAAAAAAAAATCATGTTTAATGCATCAAGAGCAAGAGGTCACAATTAGAGATGAAGGCATTCGTATACAAATACAAATATCACTACACAGCTGGACTTAACGAGGGTCCACCCCTGGGTCTGGACCATCCCCACACACGTCTGGCAGTAGTCGTGGCCCCACTCATCCTTCCAGTCACTCCTGGAGCACTGCTGTCTTCCCACTCAGCTGGCCACTCAGCAGCCGTACAGGAAGACTCATCCTCCCTCCCCCTGCTTGGAGTGGCTAGCCGAGCGAGAAGAGAACAGCACTCCACTCCAGGAGCAATTGGAAGACACGTGGGACACCTTCATTAAGTCTAGCTGTGCTGGGATATTCGCATACGAATAGCCCCATCTCTAGTCACAATTACTGGGTGTTCGTAGAAATGTGTGTAATATCTGTACAGAAGTTATTTGACTTGTGTTTTCTGGGGGGGCACTTGGACTCTATTTTGAAAAGAGATTACGGATCATCACAGTCCTGAACTAACTGCCACTGTGTCTGCACGGGGGCTTCACCAGGGGGAACGGCCATTCATCAAATCATAGAACTGTAGAGTTAGAAGAGATCTCACAGTAATCTAGCAACATCCTGCCAATTAAGCTAAAGCATCCTTGTGAGATCTGCAGCAAATTATAGTTCCCCACTTTAGAAATAGCCCTTTCCAACATTGGATGACTCTTTGCTATCAAGACAAAGTTCTTCCTAATTGGAGGCTCCCTTATCACAATTTAATTTATTGATTTGAGTCCTGTCCTTTGGAGCAGCAGACACCAGGCTTACTCTTTCGTCCATATGACATAGGTTTAATTTGAAGATGCCTATTTTGTATGTCTTCTTAATCTTTTCTTCTATCTAGGCTGAACACAGCTCATGGATATCAGCCTAAATCCGGTTGTCTCCTCTAGGGTAGACCCACTGAATCAGGGGAACTTACCTAAATGGAGATTTACAAAGAGTCCATTGATTCAGTGGGTGTAATCTGTATCTGAAACCTCTATTATAAAAAGTGAAAAAGGATTGTCTGTATTTTGAAATGAAATGATAAAAAAGTGCCTCTCCCCCTCTTACAGACTAACCCAGCATGGTAACAAAAATAATCCCAGTTTATTCTAGATTCTAGAAAATCAAGACCAAAATTTAAATGACATGTCCTTTTATTTGTGTTTCATTAATAGCACTGAAGATCTCTGGGCTACCTTGTTGGACTTCATTACTGTATCACACAGAATGCAGAGAGGTACCTGGAGTAGTTGAAAAGTTGCAGAGGGTGACAAGGTAATGTTGTGTATCATATTTTTAAAATTCACCTATGTTTCCTTCTTGCATTCATTTATATCACACTTAGATTTGTCAAAGAAGTAATGAATTATCTGATTATCGGTGGGCATTTTTATTTGAAAAAATATAGTGGAGTTTCTAATTTGAAGTAATAGGCCACTGTTCTTGATGGGTCTCCACCGTGTGTGTGTGTGTGTGTGTGTGTGTGTGTGTGTGTTTCATCTCATTTCAACATTGCATTGCAAATGGGGGTGAAGTTCTTACAAGTCTTCCCACCCTCAGATTTTTTTCACAGAGTAGGTAATTCATTCGCATATGCATCCTCATATGATAATACAATTGACATTTCCTTTTAATGTTGGTTTTATTGTCCCAGCATGGGCATGGTTTGAAGGTGTCCACTATGACATGGTTATTTAATGCTGTGGTACAGGAGGAGCACACAGAACTGGCCCTTATTCCTCCCCAAGTTGCCTACCCGGGGTGAGCATTATATATACTGTACACATAACTTGTTGTTGTTGGTTAGTCATTAAGTCGTGTCCGACTCTTCATGATCTCACGGACCAGAGCACACCAGGCCCTCCTGTCTTCCACTGCCTCCCGGATTTGGGTCATGTTGGTAGCTTCAATGACACTGTCCAACATCTCATCCTCTGTCTTCCCCTTCTCCCCTTGCCTTCACACCTTCCAAGCATCAGGGTGGTCAAAGTATTGGAGCTTCAACTTCAGGATCTGTCCTTCCAGTGAGCACTCAGGGTTGATTTCCTTTAGAATGGATAGGTTTGTTCTCCTTGCAGTCCAGGGGACTCTGAAGACCCTCCTCCAGCACCACAATTCAAAACCATCAGTTCTTCGGCGGTCAGCATTGTTTATGGTGCAGCTCTCACTTCTGTACATCACTACAGGAAAAACCATAGCTTTGACTATGTGGACCTTTGTCGGCAAGGTGAGATCTCTGCTTTTTAAGATGCTGTCTAGGCTTGTCATCACTTTCCTCCCAAGAAGCAGGGGTCTTCTAATTTCGGGGCTGCTCTCCCATCTGCAGTGATCATGGAGCCCAAGAAAGTGAAATCTGTCACTGCCTCCATATCTTCCCCTTCTATTTGCCAGGTGGTGATGGGACCAGTGGCCATGATCTTAATTTTTTATGTTGATCTTCAAACTATGTTTTGCACTCTTCTCTTTCACCCTCATTACGAGGTTCTTCAATTCCTCCTCACTTTCTGCCACCAGAGTGGTATCATCTGCATATTGGAGGTTGTTGATATTTCTTCTGGCACTCTTAATTCCAGTTTGGGATTCATCCAATCCAGCCTTTCGCATGATGTATTCTGTATATAAGTTAAATAAACAGGGGGACAGTATACAGCCTTGTCGTACTCCTTTTCCAATTTTGAACCAATCAGTTGTTCCATATCCAGTTCTAACTGTTGCTTTATTGTCCCATGTATAGATTTCTTAGGAGATAGATAAGATGGTCAGGTACTCCCATTTCTTTAAGGACTTGCTATAGTTTGTTGTGGTTGACACACTCAAAGGCTTTTGCGTAGTCAATGAAGCAGAAGTAGATGTTTTTCTGGAACTCTTTGGCTTTCTCCATGATCCAGCGCATGTTAGCAATTTGGTCTCTCGTTCCTCTGCCCCTTCGAAATCCAGCTTGTACTTCTGGGAGTTCTCGGTCCACATACTGCTGAAGCCTACCTTGTAGGATTTTCAGCATAACCTTGCTAGCATGTGAAATGAGTGCAGTTGTACAGTAGTTGGAGCATTTTTTGGCACTGCCCTTTTTTGGAATTGGGATGTAGACTGATCTTTTCCAATCCTCTGGCCACTGTTAAGTTTTCCAAGCTTGCTGGCATATTGAGTGTAGCACCTTAACAGCGTCATCTTTTAAGATTTTAAATAGTTCGACTGGAATGCCATCACCTCCACTGGCCTTGTTGTTAGCCAGGCTTTCTAAGGCCCACTTGACTTCACTCTCCAGGATGTCTGGCTTAAGGTCAGCAACCACACTATCTGGGTTGTCCGGGATGTCCAAATCTTTCTGGTATAATTGTGTATTCTTGCCACCTCTTCTTGATGTGTTCTGCTTCTGTGAGGTCCCTGCCGTTTTTGTCCTTTATCATGTCCATCTTTGCACAAAATGTGCCTTTAATAGCTCCAATTTTTTTAACAGATCTCTGATTTTTCCCTTTCTATTATTTTCTTCCGTTTCTTTGCACCATTCATTTAAGAACGCCCTCTTGTCTCTGCTTGCTATTCTTTGGAAGTCTGCATTCTGTTTTCTGTAACTTTCCCTATCTCCTTGCATTTTGTTTCCCTTCTCTTCTCTGCTGTTTGTAAGGCCTCATTGGACAGCCACTTTGCTTTTTTGCATTTCCTTTTGTTTGGGACGGTTTTTGTTACTGCCTCCGGTACAATTTTATGAGCCTCCATCCATAGTTCTTCCGGCACTCTGTCCACCAAATCTAGTTCCTTAAATCTGTTCTTCACTTCCACTGTGTATTCATAAGGTTTAGATTATACCTGACTAGCCCAGTGCTTTTCTTACTTTCCTCAGTTTAAGCTTGAGTTTTGGTCTAAGAAGCTGATGTTCAGAGCCACAATCAGCTCCAGGTCTTATTTTTGCTGACTGTATAGAGCTTCTCCATCTTTGGCTGCAGAGAATATAATCAATCTGATTTCGGTATTGCTCATCTGGTGATGTCCATGTGTAGAGTCACCTCTTGAGTTGTTGGAAAAGAGTGTTTGTGATGATCAGCTTGTTCTCTTGACAAAACTCTATTAGCCTTTGCCCTGCTTCATTTTCAACTCCAAGGCCAAACTTACCTGTTGTTCCTTTTAACCCTACTTTAACATTCCAATCCCCTGTAATGACAAGAACATCTTTCTTTGGTATCAGTTCTAGACGGTGTTGTAAGTTTTCATAGAATTGGTCAATTTCAGCCTCTTCAGCATTAGTGGTTGGTGCATAAACTTGGATTACTGTGATGTTGAAAGGTCTGACTTGCATTTGTATTGAAACCATTTTATCATTTTTGAGATTGTATCCCAGTACAGCTTTCCCCGCTCTTTTGTTGACTATGAGGGCTACTCCATTTCTTCTACGGGCGTCTTGCCCACAATAGTAGATATGGTAATCGTCTGAATTGAATTCGTCCATTACCATCCATTTTAGTTCACTGACACCCAGGATGTCAACGTTTATTCTTGCAATCTCCTGTTTGACCACATCCAGCTTACCAAGGTTCATAGATCTTACAATCCAGGTTCCTATGCAGTATTTTTCTTTGCAGCATTGGACTTTCCTTTCACTTCCAGGCACGTCCACAGCTGAGTGTTCTTTCGGCTTTGGCACAACCACTTCATTAGCTCTGGAACTACTTGTACTTGTCCTCCGCTCTTCCTCAGTAGCATGTTGGATGCCTTTCGACCTGAGGGGCTCATCTTCCAGCATCATATCTTTTAGCCTTTTGTTTCTGTTCATGGGGTTTTCTTGGCAAAGATACTGGAATGGCTTGCCAGGTCCTTCTCCAGGTGGATCATGTTTAGTCAGAACTCTCCACCATGACATGTCCGTCTTGGGGGTCCCTGCACGGCATAGCCCATAGTTTCTCTGAATTACTCAAGCCCTTTTGCTATGACAAGGCAGCAATCGGTGAAGGGGGTACACATAACTGCCCCTTCCCAACTGCATCTGTGCCTTTATATTTTTTTTGCTTGCTCATTTAAGCAGCTTTGTGTCATGTGGTCAAATTGACTAGTGGACTGTATCTGAAATAGAAGAGATAAAGGAGGGAATGGGGAAAGAACTTAACTGATTATCAGTAATTTCATGTGACAGATGAAAATACTACTTCACTTTCTGCCAACAGAAACCGTTCAGCTGAAAATCATGGAAGCTTGTCTGTCTGTGTGTATTGAACTTTACTCCTCAAAGAAACAATTCATGGCTTTGACAACCATATAATTAAACAATTACAATGGTGGAGATTTATTTGGTGAAATGGCCTGCTGTAATCACTTATCTGAAAAGGCTATAATACTTGCACAGTAATGAATGAGTGGAAGAATATTTCTTGGCAACGAATGTCTGTCAGGGTGAGATGCTTAATTTTAAGCCCTTTAACCCATTTTGACAGACATCTCCTGAAGAATGCTGAGGGCCTTACTGCAAGACCTTCAACAGTATAAATAGATACAGAAGTACATTTTGTTTTCTCTGGGCTATTCTCAGGCTTCCTCCCCTGCCCCAGTAGCTCCTAGGAATCCTACTGCTCAAAGGATGATGGTAGAAACACTCAGCTAACTCTTAGGAAGGCGAAGAAGCCAAGAGTTGGTTTTCTTGAATGGCTAGTTTTGTTTAGCAAACTGAATCACACTAGCTGCTTGTCCACCATCCTACAGCTGACTATATTACTACTAGGTAATCTCAGATTAGTTTACTGCTTTTTGTACTGGAATGTTAGGAATAGAGTGTGTGGATGGTTCTAGAGGCAACTGTTTTTCTGAGTCAGTACCAACCTTTAGAGCAAAACAGTGAAGTACTTCTCTTTTAATACTGCTTACCTGATCAGTAGGTTCACCCGAGGTTTTAGTGTGTGCTGGCAGAGTTTGGGAAAGTTACTGTTTGGACTACATTCCCCAGAATCCTCCAGCCAATTTAGGCCAAAAAAGTTATTTTCCAAGCTGCTGGTATTTATTGCCTGTAGGACCTCTTCCCAAGGATACACTCACTCACTTACCACTAGGCATTCTGCTGGTTACTGTGTCTTATCCTCACTGCCTGCTCTCAACCCTTATTTGCTGCAACTGTGCCAAGCCACCATGTTTGAGCAGCCTATATGATGACTAGGCATCAACCTAAGGGAAAATGGTATCCCAAAGAAGCATTTGCCCATGATTTGTCAGTTGTTAAAGCCTGTCACCTGCCAGCGACACCAGACATAGTTAGCACATTGATCTATATTGTCGTGCTACTTCTTTTGGGGTGG